ACTACACTTGAGAACCACTGATTTGTAGTTTACAGCTACGTACCCGATGTCTCTCCTTGCTGCTCTTGTAGGAATGCAGTGAGGTGGGAGGGGAAGGAGAAGCGCAGCAGAAAGAACACGGACTCCAGTGTTCTTTGACCTACTCTTGACCTTTGATGTCAGAGTTAGGATTTGAACCTACATCTCTGAACTCTGTGTTCTGGTTTCTTTCCAGTGTTTTTAAGCTCCAAGGCTACTTCCTAGCCCTTGGCTCTCTCAGCACCTCCTCTTTCTTCTCCGCAGGCCCTAGACTTTGCTTACCTCCACTTTCCTCTTTTCTTGGCTTCCCTCTGTCCCTTCTTGCCCTGGCCTGGTTTTGCTATTAAGATAGATACCATTCCTGTTTCCTCCTTCCCGATTCCTTCCCCAGATAGCTAGGCTCCTTCCCCTCATAGATTTTGCTCCTCAGACCTTTGCAAATTGCAAATGGGCTCTCTGTCATTCTTCCGAGCCTGGTGTCAGTCCATCTGGTGCTCAAGTCACTTCTAGGCCCCACCCCAAAATTTGATCTATCACAATACATCTTTGAGTTATTGCAGCTTGGGCGTTTTGACACGATACATTATGGTAATCCATGGCACATAGAGACATTAACACTCCCGACTTTGACAAAATACATTGTGAAGTCTTTGAAGGCACCATTACAATTTATCTTGTCATTCAGGAGGAGACCTAGTTCAGCATTAATGTAGATGAACACAGTGTGGCTTTTGTTTCATTTAATTGCTTGTGACCTTTTTAATTGCTAATTTAACGAAATACCAAAGGGTTATGTTTCAATTAAATTAACAGTTTGGGAGTGGTTTTCTTTTTTTAATATGTTTATTTTTTTTTTAAGACATTCTGGTTCTCCCTGCTTTTTACTTGGAGTAGATAAAAATGTGTTCTCTTGAACAGAAGTGGGTTTTTAAATGTGAAGTTGATATATAGTAATAATTTTAATATGAGAATGATATAGTGCCGATATATGGTTGGGTTCACTCCTTTCTAGAAGGATACGAACAGTAAAGGTATACATGCAAAGTCTAAACTTTTCTGGTCCAAAAACATGTTTTTGGTGTAATGCTCTGCTTCACATGTTTGTCTTTAGATATAAAACGCCTGTCATATGCACCATTTAGTGGGTACTTCTCTCTGCCTTGTACTATTTTGTGCTCTGTAGCAAGTTTGTAAGCTCCTAAAGATCAGGAACCCTGCATTATCCTCACCAGTGTGCTTCCATAGTCTAGCATACTGCTGACACGGGGACAGTAGATGCAGGTCAGATGGCTGACTGATCTGGACACACAGACATGCCCCCTCCGAGCAGCAACACTCCTGAGCTCTATAACCCCAAGAACAGAAGTTGTTCGTGTTCAGTAGATGACCTGCTTGGGGGTGAGCAGCACGTACTGAGATGAGTGCAGGGCTGTTCCTTTCTTTCCTACTTCCCCAGGTGCTGTTGCCCTTCTAATCATAAAAGCAAACACACCCCTTATCATCTGGGACAAGGCTCAGAACTTACCCAAGTAACAGGGGGGCCTAAATCCTCAAATGGGATATGAATTTACACTGTTAGAGAGTAGTAGGTCAATGCAAGAAGCATTAGTGTGTTGAGCCAGCTCCAGCTATATAAGTCTTGGACAAAATTAATATAAAGAAATTGACAAGCCTTGCTGGTTATTCCATAGGTTTAAGACCTCTACTAAAATCCTATCATCTCATCTGCCCATTATTAACATTTCAGCAAAATATAAAGTTTTCATTAATCTCCCCCAGCAAATTTAGGAGTGAAAACTGGCACTTGTTTGAGCTTTTAGGACTACATTAGCTGGTGTATTAAACAAAATATGTCATTCTTCAGTAGCTTCTGTAAGAAGCTAAATCAATTTCCAGCCATATTTATGCACCACTTTATCTAAAAGCATCTGAATTATCATTTACAGCTAAGATGCTTTATTAGCAGCTGGCATTGAAATTGCTCAGTAAAAAATTATATGTCACGTAATAGTAATTTTTAAATTGGTTTTAATCCAATATCATAAAATGTAAAACTCTTAAGTGTGGGTTTTTTGTTTTTTGTTTTTTTTTTAGTAATTGGCATTTTAGCATAATGAGCTGTTACCTCTTTCCAAATCAAATACCTGCAATATTTAGAAAATACTAATTAGTAAAGAAAACAGAAGTTCTTAAGCTAAGCCATATCTAATAATGGCATTTTCTCAGATCAGATGACTTTAACTGATTTTTAAAACATGAAAGGATTTTAATATTTCACCAAAAATTCTCCACAGCTCTCATATATAAAAGGTTCTAAAAATAAAAATAAACACATCTTTGCAGTTCTGTTTCAGGAAAGTGTATATTGGGGAGAGTGAATGATTATTTGAATCTCTATAAATTCTAGCCAGCCTCTTGGTTTAAAATATGGACATTACCCAGAAGACAGACATGTTCACAATGATGGCATTTCTGTCCAAAATTACAGATGTCCCAGAGAAACGCAATGAGGTTACCTACTGGCCCTCACAGATGATGAGTGCAGCTCTCGTCCTCGTGATGTGATGTTGGCTAAGTCGCTCAGCCCCTCTGATTCTCACCGTCCTGTGGCCGTGTCAGCTGATGTTCATGAGTACATTTTTATTGAGCACTTGCTTTATCCTGGCATGGTGACACTAGCAGGGTCTAGGCTGTAATGGTGAGTCAAGCAGTCACTCTGCCTGCTCTCTTGGGGTTTACAGTCCAGTGGCACAGACAGATAAATGACTGGCTGTGACAGCATTCTGCAGAAAAATGCCAGGTGCAGTGCCAAAGGGAGATGAGCTAGACCCAGGGAAGCTTTCCCTGAAATGTCACTTGAGCTACATTCTTCAGGAAAAATAAGCAGGACACCTGGAGGAATAGGTCAGGAGAGAGTGAAGTGGGAGAAGGGGGATCTGGGCAGAGAGTACAGTATAATAAGTACAGATGCTCAAAGATGGGACTGTGTCACAGGCAGTCAGTGAATGGCCCATTAAGGGAGAGGCTGCATCCTCACTGAGGGGGGAGCATTATTGTAGGTGCTAGAGTGGTCCAAGCTGGGAATAACTGTAGTGTTTGGAAATCAAATGCACTGTTCCTAATAAAGGTGTTCAGTGTGAAGGCATCAGAAACCAACTTTGACTTAAAGCTTACCCTGTAAACAATAACTGTGGGAAGGAAAAGCATGTAATTGTCAGGCTGCCAGTTATGTAACAGAATTTTCCCATTATATACCCAAATCTAGAGTTTTCCATTCCTCCAACTCTGTCCCTAGGAATTCTCTTTGGGTTTCTCTGCGAAGCCATCTCTGGGTGTTCAACACAAGGCTTAGGGCACCCAGCTCTGGTTGGCCTCTGCCACACAGGTGCTTCCCTCCCACTGGTGAATGGTACCAGCAGCCGCACCTTCAGACCACATTTTAAACTGGGGAATGGGAGATAATTTAGCTTTGCTTAGTGTGGACTCAGGCACATGACTTTACCTCTCAAAGCCTGAGATTTCTCATCTGTATAATGTAGAAAATTAGTACCCACCAGGTTGTCATGAGGCTTAAGTGCATGTGTGAAGTGCTTAGCACCATGCCTGATGTATAGTAAGCACTCAAGACGCACTGGTTCTTTATGTATTATTCATTTATTTATTTATTTAGCACAATTTAGCGAGGGCATACTGGTTGCCTGCACTGCTTGTAAATGATACAGAGATGAATGAGAAACTTTACAGACCATCAGAAAGCTTCCAGATTAGGCCAGAGCAACCACTCCAACAATTCTAGTGCAAGACTGAATGTGGTCCTCTCTGATGGTAGAATGAAAACAATCATGACTGCTATTTAGTAAGTGTATTATGGTTAGATTCTTTAAATACATTTTGACATTCTGTGCATGGTAAAAACTGGGGCTCAGAGAGATTAAAGTCACTTGACCAAAATCATCTAGCAAGTTAGAGGCAAAGGTAGGAATTGAGCCCAGGTCTGTCTGGCCCCCAAGTCCAGTATAACCAGGATTCACAACTCCAATTGCTGTGGAATTCAGGGGGAGGTAGAGTTTGAGCTGCCTTGGGTGGAGTTTTGACAAGTCCAGGGTAAGATTAAAAGGCTACCACCTGAACAAAGGCCCAGCAGTAGAAAAACCTGGACTTGTGTGCAGTCTGAGGAGTTTGGGAAGAACTGAGAGAAGGTATGTCTGAGAAATAATAAGTAAAATTGAAACATTACATTTCAGCCAGATTATGGACAGCCTTGATTGCTTGGCTGAAAAGAGCACCTCAGTCAGGAGGCCATGGGAAGCCAGGCAAGATTTTTGAGCACCCACCTTCTTACTTTTCCCCAGTATACCTCTCAGGGTCCTGAGCATGCATGAAGCTCTCACAAAACAAATGATCTAAGCCTTAGAAAGCTTTATGAATCAGACAGTCCTGTGGTGGCTGGATTGCAGGGAGAGCTTGGTGGCCAGAAGGCCCATGGGAACACTGTTCCACCCGTCCAAGAGTGAGCAGGCTCATGCTCTCACCCTTGGAGACTATAGGGTGCAAGATGGGAAGCTGATGAACACACGGTCGGTCTGAGAATCTTGGAAAGCACAAGATTTCTTCAAGAGCACGGATTACTTTTATGATCGGAAAAATTATTCGGAAAAGAAACAAGAAGTATGACCACCCATGCTTCTGAGGTTTTAACTCTCATGGAGACGGAGAGCTTCTGGCGAGCAGCAGTTTTTCTCTCCTGCTGCCCAGCCAAGGGCCTGCCATAGAATAGGCAGTGTTTGCGGAATTAATTGTTGAATGATGAATATGTTACCATTCTCTGTTTACTGGAATGGCATTATTAAGTCATCGCTCAGCCTTTTCTTCTCTAAATTAAATAGCCCATATTATTTTAATTTATCCCAAAGCATTTTAAGCAGACACCATTTGCCAAGCCTCATGTATCTTTATGTGTTAAACTGCTTTTTCCTCCCCAGGTTCAAGGGCAGACGGAGTTTTTGAGGAAGATTCACAAATTGACATAGCCACAGTACAAGACATGCTTAGCAGCCACCATTACAAGTCATTCAAAGTCAGCATGATCCACAGACTGCGATTCACAACCGATGTCCAGTTAGGTAAGTGCATGAACCAATGATGGACTGAACCTTTTGTATCAGTGGTCAGTGTAGAAACCGGGACAGAAGCAACATCCTACTTTTATGTGACCTGAATGACTAACGGTAATTTGTTTTCAGAGAAAATGTTTAAACAGTGAAATATAAAGTACCTCCTTTTTCCCACCTGAGTGCTCTGTCTTGTCTTCTTTTTTATGAAGCAGAAGATTAGAAATAGAACTAACTTGAGACTCTTTTCAAACTGATTGACTTCTGTGAAGTTCCATAAATCTTTTCATTCTGTAATTTTCTACATGCTATCCTTAGAAGTGCTTTGTAGCATTGCCACTTGCCTTTTTTAACTCAGGTGAATTCATTGCTTATTCATTCATGCCTTTATTCAGGAAGCTTTTTAATGATCTCAGAAGTTATATTTGGATCCTCACCAAATAATCCAGAACTTTCAATTAACATTTGGGATTAATCTGTTCCAATTAAGGCTGTATTTCTGTTTTGACTTACACATAACAAAAGTATAAGTCTCATAGTGGTCAACATAATATCACATCATCATCATCATCATCATCATCATCATCATCATCATCATCATCATGGCTGCCATTTATAGGTGTCTGCTGTGTGTTAAACACTGTGCTCAGTGCTTTACATACTCTATGGAACTACCTAGAAAGTGGGTATGTGTACCTTCCCCATCTAACAAAGGAGGTAAACAAGGTGCAGAGAGGTGACGGACATCTCATGCCCAAGCTCACACAGCAGGAAGGTAGATGGTAGTGTCAGGAGCAGAACCCTGGTCTGGCCAGCTAAAGTGCACCTGCTCCCTAAGAAAGGACACTGGGGTGAGCGGGGTGCAGGCGTGGGTGCCGGGCTTAGGCAGGGAGCAGACCTGGCTCTGCCACATGCCTCTGCCACCCCACCCTGTCCCAGGCCTCGTTTGCTGGGGTGTGAAGGGAGGAGGTTTGCACTTCAACTCCGAAGCCCCCTGATTCTAGGTTTCTCACAAACGCTCTGTGTGTGTCTCATAATAAAGTCTTTTGTAATGCTGGCGTTAGTCTGGCTAATTTGTAATAAGCCTCAGAAATCTCTTCAAATACTCCTTCCCAGCCTGACTGACTGGAACCTGAAACATCCTGACAGTACAGCTTAGTAGGTAAGAGAGGACCGTCAGATGCGCAGAGCTCTGAATTGTGGCTCCGTCAGTAGCCAGCTGTGTCAGGCAAGTGCCTTCGTCTTTCTGAGCCTCAATTCCATTTGGTCTAAATGGGAGTATCAGTAGCACCAACTTCTTAGGATGGCCTTGGGGAGCAGATTAGGCCGCGTGAAGCTCGTAGCACAGGGCCTGGCGGGTGGTAGGCCCCCTGTAAAGGAGAGCTGGTGGTGGGTAGGCAGCGCGGTGGACAGACTCCAGAGCTAGAGGCCTGGGTTCAAACCCTGGCTCGTTCATTCGCTGTGTCACCACAGGCAAATGATTCAGAGCCTCTGTTTCGTCATTTATAAAGTGAGGATAATAGTCCCTGTCTCATAGATGTCCTTACAGGGATGAAATGACAGCACACATGCACAATACTTAGAAAAACACCTGGCACATAGCAAGTCCTCAGTAAACACCAGCTGCTCATGCTAAGATGATGGTGATTCTAACAGACTAACTAGATGGATTAGCACCCAGTAACTTTGGTTTTTTTTGGGGTTTTTTTGTTTTTTAATTTTTTTAATGTTTTATTTATTTCTAGGAGAGAGAGAGAGACAGCGTGAGCAGGGGAGGGTCAGAGAGAGAGGGAGTCACAGACTGAAACAGGCTCCAGGCTCCGAGCTGGCAGTCAGCACAGGGCCCGACGCGGGGCTCCAACCCACGAACCGCGAGATCATGACCTAAGCGAAAGTTGGACGCTTAACCGACTAAGCCACCCAGGCGCCCCAGCACCCAGTAACTTTGAACCAAAACATAGAACCCACCTTTTTTTCCTCTTTCTAGACCTATTTCTGCCTCCTTACCCCTCCCCCCCCCAAAAAAAAACACCAAAAGCTAAATATCTAAGTGGTTAAAAAAATTACTTATTTAATGTTGATTCTTAAAACATAAAATTCTTTGGTGTTTTTCTTCCTGGGGCTGCTTTTCCTGGTACTTCTTATAGAAATAAAAATAATGAGGCTCCTCAAACAGAAGCCAGATTCAAAAAAAGGGAGGGTGAGTACATACTGTATTATTCCACTATATACCATTCAAAAATACACAAAAATAGTGTCGGTGCCAGGGTGGTGAGCGTAGCTGCCTTCCAAAAATACACAGTCACCTGCTGGGCAGGAGTAATGAAGGTGGTCATCCCGTGGGGAAAGGAGGCTGTAGTGACTGCAGGGGAGACTGGGATGCTGGGAAGGTTCTGCTCCTTGACCTGGGTACCAATTACATGGGTATATAGACTCTGAGAAAAATCAAGTTATATGGGGGTGCCTGGTGGCTCAGTCACTTGAGCTTCCGACTTCATCTCAGGTCATGTTCTCGTGGTTCATGAGTTCGAGCCCTGTCGGGCTCTGTGCTGTAGCTCAGAGCCCCTGGGGCCTGCTTTGGATTCTGTCTCTCTCTCTGGCTCTCAAAAATAAATAACATCAAAAAAATCAAGTTATAGATACTTTTACAACTCATGCACTTTCTGTTGGTATATTTTCAATTAAAAGTTTACTAAAATAAGAACACTACTCAGACATCTAGTTTGGGTTTGCCTACAGTACCTTCCCAGTAACAAAGGAGAGTGTCTGATTTTAAGGAGCCAGCAAGTAGCCAGACTGCGGCCAAGACAGAGGTCCACCTACAAGACAGGGATTTTCCCAGGTGAACATACAGTAAATCCACCAATCCCCAAGGTAAAAAAGCAGTGCTTTGGAAAGAGTACCAAGATTGTGGGCTTCTTTCCCTCACTTTTTTTTTTTCCAAAGGCAAAAAAGCCAAACTTTAATTCATTAGACTCTGACATGTATATTTAAGAGAAAAAGCCCACAAAAGGATCTGTGGAAAGAGCCCTAGCTCTGTAGTCAGGATTGGGTTTAAATCCCAGCATTACCGCTTACCTGCAGTGTCACCTTGGGCAAGTCCCTTTTCAGGCTCAGTTTTTGTCATCTGCAAAGTGGGAACTCTAATGTTTACCTTTCAAGGTTGAATAAAAGTGGCCCAGAGAAGCTGTACTCTGAAAGGAGGCTCATCTTAGTGCTGTTGTTATTATCGTTGCCATTATTTATTTTGCCTGTTGCTTTCTGTCCAAGTCCACCATCTTGAAATTAACCAGATCACTTAGATTAGGTAGTGACTCTGTTGGCAGAGTTTCACTTGTAGCTACAGTGGAGGAGACTTGTCAAGTAGAAGTGGATGATGACAATGATGAGGATATCTCTCCCGGGAGCAGGGGTTCTTAGAAGTGTGACTGGAGGCCAGGTCCCAATCACCTCTGGAAGTTTCCAGTGGTACGCATGGTGCCCTCTGGTGGAGAGTCATGGCTTCTAAACAGTCAGATGTCAGAATATTTGTTTCAGTGATGAATCTATGCTCAGTCTGTAGCATTATGAACAGAAACTTCATTGATTAGTCCTAAGGAATTTTGTGACAATTACACAAACTCTGCCTGTGAATACTATACCATGCAGAGAATAAACTCATTTCCTATTGCCACGTAGATGAGTTCTGTGACTTCAGACTCCCTCTGCCTCCTTGCAAAGCAGGTGACACCCTTTCATTTTAACAGCAACGACAAAAACCTGCAGAGTAATCCAGGAATTCTTTCTTTCCGAAACTGACTCTACTGTAAAGGACAGGGCAGCAAACAGCACACCTTTTATGAGCATTTGAGTGAGCAGCTGGATTCTGAGATCAGTAAATAATTTATTTTATTTCAACTGACTAGCCAGGTGCTTCAGATCTTTCCTGACACTGATGGATGGTCTCCTCCGCTCATCCATCCTGTGTCAGCCAGAGCAGAGATTTCACTTGCCCCCTGTGGCAAGTTCTTCTAAGTGGTAAGTGTCTGTGTGCAGCCTTTCCCCAGCAGCCCTGCTGATTGCACAGAAAACTCCCCGTCCACTCTGCGTCAGTGGCACGCAGGAGCACGCGGCAGCGATCAGAATGTCCAAGCTCCACCGTGCCTTCGCAGCTGCTTGTCTCCCCATCGGGTAGTCATGGCCCATGCTCCCGTTTGTACCATCTGCCATCTGCTTCTGAGAAAGTCAGGCAAGGAGGGACGCAAACTTAGATCTGCAAGTCCCAAACTTCAGCTGACTTTCCACCAGACTTTTCTGTGATTGGAAAACTTTATTGGAAAAACAGTAGTGAAATCTGTGGCAAAGACTGATCTTTTTAAATAATATTAGCAAGAAGAATTACAATTTTTAAAGTTTATTTATTTATTTTGAGAGATAAAAAGCACGAGTTGGGGAAGAGCAGAAAGAGGAGAGAGAAAGAATCCCAAGCCGGCTCTACACTGTCAGCACAGAGCCTGATGGCAGAGCTTGAACCCACAAACCGTGAGATCATGACCTGAGCTGAAGTCAGATGCTTAATGATTGAGCCACCCAAGCGCCCGAGAATTACAATTTTTAAAGGCAGTTATTTATTAAGTGTTTACTATGTGCCAGGCACTTCACTGATCACTCTTAAATTCACTGTCTCCTATAATCATATCACTGTTACTGGATAGAACTGATATTATCTCCATTGTTTTATATCAGGAAACTAGGGTATAGGGAGCAGTTACTCATCAGGTAATGAAGCTGAGATCAGAATCTAAGACTGTCTAAGGCTTAGTCCTGCACCTAACTACTATATTATGCCTTGAATGCAAATTGTCATTGCACTAATGCTCTTTAGCTCTAGGACAGTTTGCAATGCACAGTGAACTCTCACCCCATCACCTTATTTAATCCACACAGAACAATGATGATGTTACTCCCATTTCATAACAAAAAACCAAGGCTTGGAGGAGTAAATGAAGTAATGTGATGCATGTGGAGAATTT